TTGGTGCGCTTCGCCGGGACTAGGAAGCTCAGGCGCGGTTGGCTCACTGTTGCTGAGCCAGGCTTCAAAGGAGGCAGGCTCTGGCTCACCTTGCTCTCTCAAGTACACCACGTACTCGGCATAGATGTGTGTCATTGTCGATATGCTATAATCAGCTTCTGGGTACAAGGCAGCTCAAGCAATCTTCATACGGGCGTCGTTGTCAGCATCACTCTCAGCAACAACGCGGTTTTGCTCCGCCTCCAGGGTTGTTGCAAAGTTTTTCTGAGCTTGAGCAGCATCCTTCTCCAGCCTCTCAACCTTGGCTTTCAGTTTGCCAAGGTCCGCCTGGGCCTTCTTGAGCGCCTCATCAGTCTGCTTGGCGCTCTAGTCTTCCTTCTTCTGGGCCTCCTCCGCCCCCTTCTTGGCCGTCTCAGCATCCGTTGCCCGCTGGTCGGCCGCCTTCAGATCTAGCTCCAGCTGGTGGATTTTAGACGCCTGTGTCATAATTATTGCTTTAGTTTCAAGTTCATTTACGATAGTCGAGTGTAAGCAATATTATCAGCGTCTATGGCAGACTTCTTGGCCCTTTTTTACCTCTTCCCGTTTGCGGGAATAAGGACGTTTGAGCCCGTCCACTCGCAGCATGACCTGTAAAAGCAGGCGGTATAAGAATTACAGGCAAGCTAATTACTTGGAAAAAATTACATTGAATTGACAAGTTTCTTATCTCAGCCAAAAGGGATAGAATGCGTTCAAGATTGAACGTCTCTATCCCAGGGATATTGTCCTTATCCCTTTTCCGGACGGCATCCAGCATGGCCTTGGCATGCTTTTGGACGTCTGGCCAGCGGGGAGATTGATCTGCACCACAATCAACACGTGATGAGTGCGAAACTAAGGCAGCACCTATCTGTTTCCGACCGTCTGAGGATGACGTCTGTTGGTAGTGGGATTTCTCCCGTAAAGGCCACCCCAGCTCAATCGGGGATTCAAAAGGGTTCTTACCTTCAGAGTCGGCCAAGCGGGAAACGCTTGCAGGCATGGTGAACCCCGCGGCTGCTGATAAGGGGTTGACAAGATCAAGGCCCACGCTGCCGCCTATATTCTCGAGTTGCCCCGCAACCCGCATCGTCTTAGCCCCGGCTGAGGCGCCAAAAGTTGACGCAGAGGCGGATTTTTTTATTTTATTGAGAACGGCTGGGGCCTCCTCTCTAGCCCGTTTGAGATTTTTCTCAAACGATTTCCCAACTTCTCCCCCCTGTGAAAATACATAAGTAAAGGTTAGTATCCGGGCAAGACAGTTTATAAAATAAACTTAAGAAAGGGTCAGGCGCTCAATACCTTGGCCCTGAGCTCGGCCATAGCCTTCTCCGCAAGATCTTTGCGGATGGTCGCAGAAGACCGCTTGGGAGTTTTCTCCGACTGCAACATGTTTAGCGCTTCTTCTGCAAAAAAGAAAGAAATTGATCAGAATCATAAATCAATTCCGATAGAAAAATACTACAGACTGTGTGAACCCAGGTGCATACGTTTATTAAACATGTGCCCTAGCCCGCAGGCGGCTAGGAAACATTCATCCCTAAACCAGGCGCTTTTGGGAATCCAATTCTTAGGGACTTTTATTGTTTCCCCGGTTCACAGAATTGCGTCTGTGAGGCCGAAAAAGTCTGCCTCGATTATTTTGTCAAAGTCTTCCTCTGGGATCTGGGGAAGAGCGCACTTCCTGCCTTACAAGTCGGGCTTCTTATTATACGGACGGAATTCATAATTTTCCCGTCTGGTTGGGGCTGACATCAGGTAGAACATGTGCTTCCAGCCATCGAACTTGAAGACCTTGTCCAAGGTCATCATGTATTGCGGCTGTGTGGTTAGAGTATACCACGCCCTCCAGCTGCCTGGGCTTCTGCTGAGATAATGCATGCTTGCAAAGGCCTCCCAGCCGGGGTTAAGCCCTTGGAACTCGCAGGCGGCAACGTACCCTAGAATGTTGGTCCAGGAGTTGGGGGTAAGTTGCCAAACCCCAAGGCCGTAGCCTCTCAAAATTGCCTTCACCGCCTGGTGAAGGGGGAAGCGAAGGCCGGCTTTGAACGCCGCCTCATAGCAACCAAAATAGATGTTGGCGTTCTCTTGATCATCCCCCGAAGCGATGGTGCCCAGCTCAGGCGGCACCCGGATCTTATACCCGTCTCCAAGCGGGTGCATTTTCTTAAAGTTCTCTAAGTTCTCCCCCATCTGGATTCGGTCCTTGGAGGAGACGTGGATACTGAAGGGAACGCCCTTCTCATTCCACTTTTTCCTTTCTTCCTCCTTGCTATCCGGAAGAGGGGGCAAGTCATCGCTGCTCTCGGAAGTAGAGGCGGAGCTGTCGCTCTCCGTCTCCCCCTCGCTTTGGTCCATGGGGGCAGAGGCGGCCTCGTCGCCGCCTTGGTCACACTCTTCCAAGAAAGAGTCAGCAGGGGTTGAAGGGCGCGCGAAGGGGATCTCCCCAGAGCCGTCTGGTCTCCCTGACCAGACGATTCTCCCTCAAGCGTTTGGCCGCCTGAGCCTTCGCTTCTATAATTCGGATCAGTGGTCTTCTGCATTGTCCGAGCCATGGTGTCCTGCACAGACACATAACTGGTCGGAATCCATGGAAAAGGGTGATCCCAACACCCCGAGCCGACACTCCCAGTCCTAGACTCAGCCGTCCCTAGTGACCGGCTGGACTCTAACCTAGGCTGTGTCGTGTCTGTTGGTGATGCATCCATTTATTGCAAGAAATATGTACAAACGGTGAACAAAAGAAAAGAGCTGAGAGAGACAGAGACGGTACCTTTGGATTTGATATCTGAAGGAAGGCGGGTCCGGCTGGGTTGCGGAAGAACAAAGTTTCTTGCTCGCGCCTGACTAAAACGGATGTCTTCTGCTCTCTCAAAGTTTTTCTCTCTAGAAAATTTTTGTAAACGTACAAAATTATGAGGGTAAAACGACAATATATAGAGGGTAAATTTGGGGGCATTTCCGTAATTTACCCGAAAGATGAACGGTTACTCTGTAACGGTAAAATTACCGCCAGCCGGAGCGTGACATGTGTCACAGATGCCACGTGGCGTGCCACGTCACATCTGTGAGGGGAAAATGTTTAGGGTAATTTTACCCTGCCACGTGGCCCAATTAGAAGGTGACACGTGTCAGCCCCAGATTGGTCTAAAATGGACCAATCCCTGCTCGACACGTGTCATTCCCGAAATCAAGGGAAAAGGAGGCCTTCAGGCCCAAATCCCGAGAATGCCGCCAAACAGCGCAGCCCACCAATGATTAGGGTTCAGTAACCTAATAAGGGGTGACCAAGATGGTCAAGGGTCAACTATCCATGGTCAAGATGAGGAGGTTCAACACGGTGCTATTGAGCAAGGTGCTAAGGGATTATTCTTGTCTAAATCATTCTTCAATCCTATGCACGGTTTTAGTCCAAAGAGTTTAACAAATGGTTACACTTCCCTTAGTGTAATTAATCTTGTTGAAGGTATCTAGTACATGAGCCGTTTTTCCAAGCTTGAAGCCACGCATGATTTATGCATTTGGGAGTTACATTGGACTGATTTTGACAGCGTGATTCAAGGCTTGTGTTGGGCGTGAATTAAGGCATTAGTTGGCTGATTATTCTACCTCTTTACTTGGGGTTTACATGTACTTAATTAGAGAGTTGTTGCTAGAATAAAGGAGCTTGAATCAAGGGTTTAAATGGGAGGTTACAAGCGTGACTCAAGGGGGTTGTTTGCATGTTTTCTTGGACGTTGAAAATGCTGTTTGAAGACCTCATGATTGCTGAACGTTTTCTCCTTAATTTAAGCATAGTTTTAAGCTTAGTTGATTAGTTTTACTTTGTTGTTATGAGGGGTTAATTGGACAGTCATATGAGCCTTTTAATCACCTTATAATTAGCATTTTATCTTGTCTTTTAATTAGGCAAGTGATGGATGATCATTAAAAATTGTAGAAGGGAATCCTATGTTCCTTTATGTAACTTATACACTACTATAAATAGTGTACTATGCATGAATGAAAAGCATCCAGAAATTTGCTTAAACACTTGTGTTTTGTTGATTAAACGTGACTTAGCAATTAGTCATTTTTAAGGTCCAAGTTTGATAACTCAAATTTGAAGAGTGCTAGTTTTGGTAGAGTGTTCCCAAACCTAGGAACTTGCGTAGTGAACGAGTGGGTTGAGTGTTCCCCATTCCTAACTACACCAAGCAAAGGGTGAGTGTTCCCCTTTGTTATATCCGAGACTAGGGTTGAGTGTTCCCCTATTCTCCCCTTCACTATTCACGATTTCACTAAGACCCCTTAAAACGTACTTTTGTAACAAGGTTCTCATCTTGCTTACACATCATTTGGCGCGTCAGGTAGGGGGTGTTTTCCTAAACATTTCCTAAGGGGTCGTATACCTACACACCATGGGAGAGAATCAAGACTTGAGGACAGCCTTGGAAGCTCTTAATCGATCCATTGCTAGTCAAGAAAGGTTGGCCGAAACCAATGCCAATCTACAAGGGAACCTTGCTGCCTTGATGGCAAGGCTCATGAACGAGCAAGATAGGAGAGATCAAGATGAAGACCCTCCACCTAGGAGGGAAGATAGGAGTCTCAAAGTGGACGTCCCTTCTTTTGATGGGACACTTGATCCAGAGAAGTACTTGGAATGGGAGAAATCCTTGGAAAGGTACTTTGAATACAAGGACATTCATGAGGATGTTCAACGTTTTAAGATTGCCAAAGTCAAATTGAAGGGCTATGGTGATAGTTGGCTACAAGGAGAGCAGAGGGGACGTACCCTTAGGGGGAAAGCTCCTATCTCTACTTGGGGCAAACTCAAGAAACGGATGAAAGACCGTTTCATCCCCCACAATTACAAGCAGAGTCAATATGTGAAGTGGAGTACCTTGCAACAAAATGGGGACTCTGTGGAGGATTACATAAAAGAGTTTGATAGACTTGCTATTGTGTGTGAAGTAACCGAAAATGAAGAGCTCAAAATGGGGCGTTTCATATCTGGTTTGGACCAAGAATTACAAGACAAACTTGAAGGTTATACTAACCTCACGTTTGCTGAAGCTTGCAAGTTGGTGATTAAGTTCGATGCTAAGAGGAAGAAGAAGAAGCCTACTACCATTCCTCAATTGGCACGAAAACCTTCTTTTCCTACGAAGGAAGGTTCTTCCTTTAACAAACCAAGTAATCCACCAAAAAAGGACACAAAGGACGTGAAGCTAGGTGACATTGTGTGTTACAAATGTGGAGGACGAGGTCATTACAAGAAGGATTGTCCTAATACTAGGGCGTTAACCATACAAGAGGTTAAGCTCATGGCCACTCAAAACATCAACTGGGATGAGTTTGAGGAGGGGGAAGAAGAAGTTGAAGATGATTGTGATGATTGCATTGCCGAGCCAGAGGAGAAGACTAGCCTCGTGATTAGGAGGGCCTTACAAGCACGTGTGGAAGAGGATGCTGCCCCCCAACGACAACACATTTTCATCACCCGTTGTAAAATTGGTGACGAGGTATGTGATTTGATTATTGATGGAGGAAGTGAGGCTAATACCGTGTCTAAGACCCTAGTATCTAAACTTGGTCTTACGACTACTAATCATCCACAACCTTACAAATTAAGTTGGTTAGATTCTAATGCTAGCACTGGGGTTAGGAAGCAATGCATGGTTTCTTTTTGCATTGGTTCGTATTGTGATTCTATATTATGTGATGTTGTGTCTATGGATGCTTGTCATATTCTACTTGGTAGGCCTTGGCAAACTGATAAAAGATCTATACATGATGGGTATCACAACACGTATACCATAGTCCATGAAGGGAGAAAGAAAAAACTACACCCTTTACCACCCCCACGGTTTTCACCATCACAAACACCCCAAAAAGAAGTATCCTTGTTGTCTCTTAAAGAGTTTGAAAGGGAGTTAGATGGTGAGGGAGAGTTGTTCATACTATACTCCAAAGAAACCCACGAAAATTTTGTTGCTCAAAATCCTAAGTTAGCCCAATTGATTAAGGATTTCGAGGACGTTTTTCCGAATGAATTACCTAAAGGACTACCACCCATACGTGGAATTGAGCATCAAATCGATCTCATTCCCGGAGCACCTTTGCCAAATAAGCCAGCCTATAGGTGTAACCCTTTAGAAACTAAGGAATTACAACGTCAAATTGAAGAGCTAATGGGGATGGGTTATGTGCGTGAGTCCATGAGTCCATGTGCCGTTCCTGCTTTGTTGGTCCCTAAGAAAGATGGTACTTGGAGAATGTGTATTGATAGTAGAGCCGTTAATAACATTACTATCAAGTACAGGTTTCCAATTCCAAGGCTTGATGACATGCTTGATGAGTTAAGTGGTTCCAAGGTCTTCTCAAAGGTAGACTTGAGAAGTGGGTATCATCAAATTCGCATGAGAGAAGGGGATGAATGGAAAACCGCGTTCAAGACAAAGCATGGGTTGTATGAGTGGCTCGTCATGCCATTTGGCCTTACAAATGCCCCTAGCACGTTCATGAGATTAATGAATGAGGTGCTAAGGCCATTTCTTGGCAAGTTCGTGGTAGTATACTTGGATGACATTCTCATTTATTCACGTGATGAAGAATCTCATTTTGATCATCTTTTCCAAGTATTTTCTGTTTTGAGGCAAGAAAAATTGTATGGGAAACTAGAAAAATGTGATTTTTTATTGTATGAAGTCATGTTTCTTGGTTACATAGTTTCAGGTGATGGCGTGAAGGTGGATCCTAGCAAAATTGAAGCAATTCAATCATGGCCTAGTCCAAGGACACTCACGGAAGTTCGTTCATTTCATGGACTTGCCTCCTTCTATAGAAGATTCATCAAGAATTTTAGCACACTCATGTCTCCCATCACCGAGTGTACTAAGAAAGGCGTGTTTGAATGGACACCCCAAGCTCAAAGGGCATTTGAAGAAGTCAAGAAGAAGATGTGCAACACACCCATCTTAGCACTTCCGGATTTTTCCAAACCATTTGAGGTTGAATGTGACGCAAGTGGAAAGGGTATTGGTGCCGTATTGATTCAAGGTGGGCGTCCCATTGCTTACTTTAGTGAGAAGATGAGTCAAGGCAAGTTGAATTACTCCACCTATGATAAAGAGTTCTATGCTATGGTAAGAGCTCTAGATCATTGGTCACATTACTTGAGGCCACAACCTTTCATATTGCATTCCGATCATGAATCCTTGAGGTTCATACATGGCCAAAAGAAACTGAATGCAAGACATGCAAAGTGGGTCGAATTCTTGCAAACATTTAACTTTTCCTCTAAATACAAGAGTGGGAAAGCTAATGTGGTTGCGGATGCCTTATCTCGAAGGCATAATTTGCTTGGAATGGTTGAAGCAAAGGTACTTGGGTTCGATTTGATCAAAGAATACTATCAAGAAGATGATGAACTCAAAAGGATAATTGATAACTGTGTCCATGGAGTCTATGATCTGTTTTCCTTACATAATGGTTTTCTTTTTAAAGGAAATAGATTATGTATTCCAAAATGTCCCATTAGAAGTTTGTTGATACATGAAGCTCATGGGGGAGGGCTAGCTGGTCACGTTGGTATTCACAAGACAGTGGAGCTTCTCCAAGCTCACTTTTATTGGCCGAAAATGTTAGCCACGGTTCATCATGTGGTGAGTCGTTGTTCTACTTGTCAAAGAGCAAAGATGGTGTTTCATAAAGGTCTCTACAAGCCCTTACCAATTCCCGAGAGACCTTGGGAAGATGTTAGTATGGATTTTATTGTAGCTTTGCCAAGAACTCAAAGAGGCAAGGATTCAATAATGGTGGTGGTTGATCGGTTTTCAAAAATGGCTCATTTCATTCCTTGCCATAAAACTGAAGATGCAGTAAAAGTGGCTAAGTTATACTTCGAAGAAGTGGTTCGTTTTCATGGGGTGCCACGCACCATTGTGTCGGATCGTGACACTAAGTTCCTAAGTCATTTTTGGAAGTCTATATGGCGTTTGATGGGAACTAAGTTATTGTTTTCTACCTCACATCATCCACAAACCGATGGTCAAACGGAGGTGGTGAATAGGATACTTGGTTCGTTGCTTAGGGCTTTGGTAAGCAAAAGTACCAAAGATTGGGATAATAAGCTTGCTCATGCCGAGTTTGCTTATAATAGGACACCTAGTGCTACTACGAAGTACTCTCCTTTTGAAGTAGTATATGGCGTTAACCCTTATGTTCCCATTGATCTTATTGCTTTGCCAAAAGACAAGTTCGTTCATGGTGGGGCAAAGGAGCAAGCCGAGTTCATGATAAAAGTCCATAAAGAAGTTCGAAGAAACATTGAAAAGGCAAATGAAATCTACAAGAAACAAGCCAACAAACGAGTTAGAAATATGAAGTCTTTTGAAGTTGGGGACTTGGTGTGGATTTACATGAGGAAAGAACGTTTTCCTAGCAAAAGGAAGAACAAGCTTATGCCAAGAGCCGAGGGTCCGTTTGAGGTCGTGGAAAGGATCAATGACAATGCATACAAAATAGATTTGGGAGGCCAATATGGTGTCTCAAGTACATTCAACATTGGTGATCTTGCGCCTTACTTTGATGATGACGAATTGAGGGCAATTCCTTTTGAAGAAGGGGAAGATGACCAAGATGGTCAAGGGTCAACTATCCATGGTCAAGATGAGGAGGTTCAACACGGTGCTATTGAGCAAGGTGCTAAGGGATTATTCTTGTCTAAATCATTCTTCAATCCTATGCACGGTTTTAGTCCAAAGAGTTTAACAAATGGTTACACTTCCCTTAGTGTAATTAATCTTGTTGAAGGTATCTAGTACATGAGCCGTTTTTCCAAGCTTGAAGCCACGCATGATTTATGCATTTGGGAGTTACATTGGACTGATTTTGACAGCGTGATTCAAGGCTTGTGTTGGGCGTGAATTAAGGCATTAGTTGGCTGATTATTCTACCTCTTTACTTGGGGTTTACATGTACTTAATTAGAGAGTTGTTGCTAGAATAAAGGAGCTTGAATCAAGGGTTTAAATGGGAGGTTACAAGCGTGACTCAAGGGGGTTGTTTGCATGTTTTCTTGGACGTTGAAAATGCTGTTTGAAGACCTCATGATTGCTGAACGTTTTCTCCTTAATTTAAGCATAGTTTTAAGCTTAGTTGATTAGTTTTACTTTGTTGTTATGAGGGGTTAATTGGACAGTCATATGAGCCTTTTAATCACCTTATAATTAGCATTTTATCTTGTCTTTTAATTAGGCAAGTGATGGATGATCATTAAAAATTGTAGAAGGGAATCCTATGTTCCTTTATGTAACTTATACACTACTATAAATAGTGTACTATGCATGAATGAAAAGCATCCAGAAATTTGCTTAAACACTTGTGTTTTGTTGATTAAACGTGACTTAGCAATTAGTCATTTTTAAGGTCCAAGTTTGATAACTCAAATTTGAAGAGTGCTAGTTTTGGTAGAGTGTTCCCAAACCTAGGAACTTGCGTAGTGAACGAGTGGGTTGAGTGTTCCCCATTCCTAACTACACCAAGCAAAGGGTGAGTGTTCCCCTTTGTTATATCCGAGACTAGGGTTGAGTGTTCCCCTATTCTCCCCTTCACTATTCACGATTTCACTAAGACCCCTTAAAACGTACTTTTGTAACAAGGTTCTCATCTTGCTTACACATCAAGGGGCACGATTCCCAAAGACCCTATAAATAGGGAGATGTCCCTCATTTTGACGGGACGTTTTTTACCATTTTATTACTTTTTACTCTTTGATAGAGACATCCTGAGCTTGGAATCCGAGCAGATCCCCACTTAAATTTCCGCATCCTTTTTTCTCCCATCAAGTTTCTAACTTGTGCGTCGGAGGCGGAGCACCACCCAACTGGTGTCTCCGTTTGTTTTGCAGGTACAACTCACCCTGGATCACCACCCAAACCGGGTGATGATGTTTTTCCAAATGAAAGAGATGACATCCTTTGTCTTGATGTTCTTGACCAACTCAGCCTCTACCCATTTGGTAAAATAATCCACAGCCACCAAAATATAGTGTTTTCCACCTGGAGCAGGCGTATAAGGACCCAGTATTTCTATGCCCCACTTAGTAAGCGGGACTGGGCTGTGGATTGTTGTCAGATCAGTAGCCGGGGGGTGAATGATTTTGCCAAACCTCTGGCATTTGTCACACCTCTTCACCAACTCTTTAGCGTCTGCTTTAAGAGTAGGCCAAAAGTAACGTCGCCTGGATCTGACATCTAGGGACCTGCCACCTATATGAGAGGCGCAGTATCCAGCATGCAATTCTTCAAAAACTTCTTTCCCCTTTTCTGGGGTAACGCACTTTAATAGAGGTTTAAGGAAACCCGGCTTGAAGAGCTCTCCGTTTCTCAAGTCAAAGTTTGCTGCTCGCTTCTTCATGACGGCTACCTCCTGTGGTGAATCAGGAAGTATGCCATCTGTTAAATATGCCTGGATGCCATACATCCAGGTAGAGCTTCGGTCCAAGATTCCAATGGGCTCTTGATATATACTTCTCTTTTCAAGAATTTCCAAAAGACTGACCGAGGCGTATAATCATAGCCGGATGGGTTGCCTCATATTTTCCCTCATAATGGCTTACGACTAACTGTGAATCAGAGTAGGCGTAAATTTTTGTTGCCTCTGCTGCTTTACACATGCGAATTCCGGCTAGCAAGGCTTCATATCCCGCCTCGTTATTTTAGGCTTGAAACTTAAACCGCAGCGCATATTCAAATTTGTCCCCCTCAGGAGACTCATATATAATTCATGCACCGCAGCCGTTCTTTGTCGAGTTCACGTCTACATACACCTTCCAAACCTGATCAATGTTATCTGGTTGAACCGGTCACGTCATTTCAATAATGAAGTCAGCAAACGCCTAACCTTTCACTGCCTTTCTAGGTTCTAAAGTGATTTCAAGACTTTGCATTTCAATAGCCCATTTCAGCATTCTGCCGGATCATTCCAAGGTATACATTGGCCGCTTGAGGGGCTCATTGGTGTAAATTACCACCGGATGGGCCGGAAAATACGGCTTCAATTTCTTGAAGGCCATATACAGGGCAAGGCCAAAATTTTCAACCATGGGATACCGGAGCTCAACATTTTTTAGAACATGGCTAATAAAATAGAGCAGGAGCTTAATGTCGTCTCTCTCAGCTAGGAGAACAACACTGAGAGCATGATCTGAGACGGCTAGGTATATAACGACTCTTTGGGAAAAGGGAAAACAAGCCTTGGTAAAGAGTGCAAGTGTTCTTTCAGCTTTTGGAAGGCCGCCTCAGCATCATCCCCCCATTCAAATCTGGTCTTCTTCCTGATTGCTTGGAATAAGTAAAGGCATTTATCACCTCAACGGCTTAGGAACCTCCCCGAAACCGCCAGGCAACCGGTTAGTCTTTGCGCTTCCTTGACAGTGCGGGGTGACTTCTTGTCAATTACCGCCTGTATCTTCTCGGGGTTAGCCTCTATCCCCCTTTGATCAATCAAGAACCCGAGAAACTTCCCAGACTCAACACCAAAGACGCATTTCTTAGGGTTTAACATAACCTTATGCCACCTAAGTGTGGTGAAGGTTTCTCGGAGATCATCAAGGTGATCCGCCTGCTGCTTGGATTTGACTATCATGTCATGAATGTACGCCTCCACATTTCTCCCAATTTGATTAATGAAGACCGTATTAATCATCCGTTGGAATGTAGCCGAGACATTTCCCAAGCCAAACGGCATCACAGTGTAACAGAATAACCCTTGATCAGTGACGAAGGTTGTCTTCTCCTTATCTTTTTTCCACAGGGGTATCTGATGGAAGCCGAAGTAGGCATCCATAAAACTCATCAAGGCATGCCCGGCTGTCGAATCGACCAGACTGTTGATATTTGGAAGTGGGTAACTTTCCTTGGGACATGCCACCCAGTCGGGAAAATTACATGGCCGAATAAACCTAGCGTCCAACAGCTTTTTTACTTCGGCAGCTACCGCCTGACTTCTCACCTCACCACGATTTCTTTTCTTTTGTCGGATGGGCTTCTTTTTAGGATCCACGGCAAGTTTGTGGACAGCAAGATCCGGGTTAACGCCTGGCATCTTCTCCACTTCAAAGGCAAAAATGTCTTTAAATTCTTTCAGTAGGAGGTGCAGATCTGCACCCAATTTAGCAGGAGCAGCCGTCCCAACCTTAACAGTACGCTCTGGACGGCTGTCGTCCAGAGGTATATCAATATGGTTCTCCAGTCGGCTGGGGACGGAGCTCAGCTGACCGCTCCCCGGTCAGTGATTGCTATTTTTTCTCTATCTTCACCTCCACCAGCAGCGGGGCCTTTCTTTTCTTTCCGACTACTGGTGGGGCTGGGGCTAGGGTGGCATCTTTGACATTGTCAAGGTCTATTGGTTCTGGGCCTTGGTCACCTGGGTTACAGTATCTTTGACGGCTAAGAGGTAGCACTCCCGGACCGTCTTTTGATCCCCATTCAAGGAACCAACAGAGTCGTCATCCCTCTCATACTTGATGAACATGAGAGAAGGGATGATTACAACCTTGGCTTTGTTGAGGCTTGGCCGGCCTAGAATAATGTTATAGGCGGTCAGTTCCTCAACGACCAAGAACTTGACGACCAGGTGTCGTCCTTTCCCTTTTCCACCCAGCCGGATTGATAAATCAACCCTTCTGATTAGGTAAACCATTCCACCCTCAAAACCAACCAGGGGATGTGTAACTGAATGCATGCTGCTCACGTTGTATTACAGCTTTTGCAGGCACCGAAGACTGATGATGTTCGATGAGTTGTCGGTGTCAATAAGGATTCGT